CAGGGCTTATAGTTTTAAATCGAGACCTCTAATTTCCAGCTTCAGCCATTTCCAGCTTCAGCCGCGACAATAAATAACAGTCTTGTATATATCGCCTGTAAATAACACATCTAATAAAATACTTGGCTATCTCTTTAATGCTTACGGCCCTAAGCTAAATTGGCTACGTGAATACAAAGTCTTTCCCCAGGTCGTAACATTTTTGGTGCCGATTGTGTGGAGTGAACAAAAGCTGAGGGTCGACAAACAAATGTTAGTGAAGCAAACGTATTGCATAAAGCAAACGTTATAGTTTCATGTGAAGCGAACGTTACAGTATTGCGTTTAACAAGTATTGTGAAAATGAACGTTACAGTACTGTGTGTACAAACCTAAGAATAAGTGAGTAAACGGATATTACAATAAGTGTGTGAATAAACGTTACAGTAAGTGCGTGGTAAACGTTAGTACAACAGTGTGTGAAAGAAAAAAAAAAAGGTCAACAAACGTGGATACAATAGTATGGACGAACACAAAATATGATAGCTTAGATGAACGTAAACACAATGTAGAAAAACAAGCCTCTTCAAAATAAAAGCCTATTAAATAACCCGAACTATCAACTGCAGCGATTACTCCAGACCGTGGTAAGTGTATTGGCACAGTCTAAGGATCCTCAAGCAAATCTTGGTAAAATAGAGTTGGTAAAGATCCCGATGTTTAGTAGAGGAAAACAAGATCCTATAAAATGGTTGGAATCAGTTATATGAGCCCTTGAAGCAAACAATATCTTAGGAGTAAGATGGTTAGAAGTAGTAGGTTCTTACCTGTTTGGTCCTGCTGCACTGTGGTGGGAAAGCAAAAAACTTAGGATGCAATATTGGAACAATAAGACAAAGCAAGACCAAAGTTTTGTACACCAATTCTGGAAAATTTTCTATACACCAGCTTTAATAAGCTAGTGGACAGCAGAATTATTAACCTAGTAACAACAAATTGGTGGGACAGTAGAACAGTATGCTGTCGATATGCTGACCAGGACCCAGAGTAATCTATGTAGGGGTAAGAATATAATTTGCTTATTTTTGACTGTTTTTTTGCAGATCTTTTCAATTTTAAGTAAGACATATGTTTATTTTTGACCATTTTTGTACAGATTCTTCAATTTTTAGTAATTTTTTAAAACTTTTACCCTACATAGATTGTTCGGGGTTTTTGTTAACCTTGTTTAAACGTATATCGACTGTAGAAATCCAATACCTAGAATTAACGCAGGTTCGAATATTCATAAAAGGCCTCCGTCCTGAATTATCATCAGCCGTTGGATCCTTTTTACCAAATATACTATATGAAGCTGTTGAACAAGTCTGAATGTATGAAACAATGGCAGCACAAGAATTAGCCATATGTAAACCCATCCCAACTAGCAACATAGTAGCCCTATCACCAATGTTCTGAATGACTTGTCCTGCAAATTCTTTAGTAATAGCCTCTGCTCTGCAAATGCGCTATGTAATGCATTCTGTAAGCTTCGCTGTATCTCCCATAATAAGTAGCCTAGCAAAACAAACAGTAAAAATATATCACCCAATTGAAAGAAATTGACCAATCACTACTGCTAAAAACCATGAAGATAGTCTGAATTGAGAAATACCCAAGCTTTCCGTGGCCTTGAGAATGATAACCAAAATGGAGTTTGAGTTGAAAAGGATGTGTATACAGCATTCGATAATGACCAAGCTTCAGTGTCTGATTCATACAGCCCTTCTTGTTGTTATCAAAACGAAATCGGTATTAAAAAGTATGAACTTAAGGCACCTATTAATTATCAAAAATCTGCAAAGATGGATTATATTATTGGAATGAATGATCTTGGTTATGGTTGCTGAATAAAAAAGGAATTAAAACAGATAAGCGACACAGATTTGATTCTTACCAAGAGTCCAATAAGGGTGAAAATAAAACATACAAACAGCAATTGAAGTTTGTTGAAGAAAGCAATTCGAAGAGACAACGTAGTCCTGGGTCTTGCTGTGAAAATGGAATTGGAGTAAAAATAGATAAATGTGAGGCATGCAATTATTATCAAAAATCTACTAATTGTATTGCAGATAAAATCGGTGATATAAAGGTGGCAAAAGGTGTTGATGAGCTTGAAGCAAAAAAATAGAACGAGTTGAAAATGTGAAAGAAGAAGTTGAAAATGAAGACCAAGTTGTGTCATTGTGGAGTATAAAATGAATAAAAATAAAAAAAAGAATGAAAGTAACGAAATGAAAGAGGTAGTTAGTATAGGCAATAACAAACCACCACAAATAAGCAATAAAGAAAATGAAAACTCACCTTTATCAAATAACTGGTCAGCCAAAAAGATTGAATGTACAAGTGAAATATCTGATAATGAGGTCGTTAAAAAATTATCTGATGGATCTAACAATATCAATGCAAAAGATCAATATAATCCCGGATGGTATTATCAAAATGGTAAAAGCTTAGATAAGAATGGAAAAAAAAAAACTTCTTTGTGAATAGAGTGAAATATACTCCCATCACTTGTATTTTTTCAGTATTTGTATAGGCCCCAGCTCACTAAAATAACCTACCATTGTATCTCAATATTCTTAAAATCAACATGACACATTTTTGATCCTGGAGAAAAATCTAAAAATTAAATTAA